CCCATCATCTCTGGACCCGCTGCCCAAGAACTCTTCCGTCACCTCCGGACCCACTGCCCAATAACACTCCCATCACCTCCGGACCCACTGCCCAAGAACTCTCCCATCACCTCCAGCCCCAATGCCCAGGAACTCTCCCATCACCTCCGGAGCCACTGCTCAATAACACTCCCATCATCTCTGGACCCGCTGCCCAAGAACTCTTCCGTCACCTCTGGACCCACTGCTCAGTAACCCTTCGTTCCCTTCCCCCCACCCCCAGCCCCTGGGAACCTCTGGTCTACTCTGTCTTTATAAACCCGCCTATCCTAGATAGTTGATATAAGTGGGATCATACAAAAGTTTTCCTTTTGGGCAGTATCTGCTGCCATCGGTGTAATTTCTGAGTGGTCAGGATGGCCACAGCAGAGTCATTCCACCAATCCACATTTTTAGTGGCTTCCCGACCAAAGCCATCTGCCATTTGCTGCTATCACTCACATTCAGACGCTACATCTGCATATAAGTGTACTGTAATTTTCCTCCCAAAGTTTAAAAGGTTTAAAAAAAGAGATGGAAAGGAAGACTCTAAATGAGACGGACTGACACAGTGGCTGCAACGATGGGCTCAAGCATAACAACAATTGTGAGCATGGCCCAGGACCAGGCAGTGTTTCGTTCTGTTGTACAGAGTCGTGAGCTGGACCAACTTAACGGCACCTAACAGCAGGATCTGAATGCAATTTAAGATGAGCTGTGTTTTAATAACTCCCTATATCCTGACACCCAAGGCCCAAATATAAAACATCCACTTATACTTGGTAAGGTAGAATTTACCTTTTAGAATAACTAAATAAAGGTCAGAAAAAGAAAATAATCATTTCTCAGACAGGATTCACAGGACGATGAGGCTAGCCCTGGGGGTTTATCTTTATTCTCAACAGTTTTGCCAGCAGTGGGGTGAAGCTATGGTTCTGTCCACCCCTCACAGGGTCCCCAGAGTGTAGGGGAAGCGACAACTCACTGGAGTTGGGTGGGGGCTGGGAGAGTGAGCCATGTGGGCCTCTTCCTTCCCCTCACAGGGCCGAGGCCAGAGGTAGAAGCAGTGTCCCAGTAATTCTACTTTCAACAAAAAATGTGAAATAACTTAGCTTCAGAGGATGTTCACCACTTATCAAAACCCCTCGGGATGGCATCTGACCAAAGGCAACACGTTAGATATGCAAACATGAGAATAATGTAATAATAAAAATTGTATTTTTTGGTGGGAAAAAGAGTTCCAATTAGAGGCCGGGAAAATGTGCCAGGAAGTATTAAGAGGAAGGAATCTGGGGGAGTCAACGTATCAGAAAAGAGAGAATTCAAGGCACAGGAAGAACGGAAACAAAGACGGTGCTTCAAACTGATCAACGAACTTCCACTCAAGAGGAAGACGGACAGGCATGAGCTGCGGGCACCTAACAAGACCTGGGGGTCCGTGGTTAAGAGCTGCGGCTGCTAACCAAAAGGTCGGCAGTTTGAACCCACCAGCTGCTCCTTGGAACCCCTATGGGGCAGTTCTACTCTGCCCTATGGGGTCGCTATGAGTCAGAATTAACTTGATGGCAACAGGATTTGGTTTGTTTGGTTTTTAACAAAGCTCTGAGATACACAAAGCAAACCCTGAGAACGCCCCAAGGAGCCCTGGCAAGTCCAGTCGTGGTGGAGACGTCTCCATGTGCACGGCCTCTCACAAACCACCGGCCCGGCAGACAGCTGAATCCCGTAAACGTGGAGAAGTCTCCAAACAGGAACACACATTCCTTCCAAGCAAACACGGAACTTTGAAAAAATCGACCTCGTAAGAGGTCACAATGCAAGTCTCAACAAACCTGAAAACATCACTTTTTTACACAGTCCTCTTTCATTGATGACAATGTGACAAAAAGAGAGATGGACAAAGGGCTGTTTCTGAAAAGACAGACAGGAAACCCTACATATCTGGGTGCGTAAAGACCTGCTTCCAGATGACTCCTGTGTTGAAGAAGCAAACAAAACAAAAATTACAAGACACCAAAACGCAACGATGATGAGAACATTGCATCCTAACCAGTGGGCAGCTTTCAAAATAGCACTAGACAGAAATATGCCCTAAGTGCGTTTATTAGAAAACAAGATTGAAAATAAACTTCCAAGACACCAGGAAAAAAAAACCTAACGTAAAAAATGAAGGAAATAATAGAATTGAAGATGCAGTTTTCAAGTAATAAAGATAAAAGCAAAATATGACAGAAAAAACACTACCACTCACCCCTCCACACAAACCCACAGAGTGGGCCGACCGCCCCACCACAGACACAAGGCTCAGGGACAAAACCACAGACACAGACGAGCTGAAAAAAAACAAAACGCGTGTTTCCACCCTGCTTTCTCCTCAAGCCCCACTGTGGGCCGACTGACTGGAACCAAAAGGCATAAGCTCATCAGGACAAGAGGAGACGCAAACTTCCGAAAGGTGGACTGCGTGACCCAAGGGCCAGCTGACTCGGAGCCAGAGCACAAACTGCAGAGCTGGCGGGCACAAGACCACAGGTAGGGAGGGGCCGGTCTGAAGCGCGGGGCCCCAGTCCATACAGGGCGTCTTCTCCCCACCCCATGCCGCCCACCAAGCCAGGCAGCTGATCCCCACTATGGACAGGATGGCGGGGGCAGGACTTGGGGGAGCCACATGTCGTGCAGGTGGGAGAACCACATGTGGTACAGGTGGGGGCCACAAGTCGAGTAGGTGGGGGTCCACACCATGCAGGTGGGGGGGCCACATGTCGAGCAGGTGGGGGGGGACACATCTCGAGCAGGTGCGGGGAGACGTGGTGCAGGTAGGGGAACCACATGTGCAGGTGGGGGCCACATGTTGGGTAGGTGGGGGCCACATGTTGGGTAGGTGGGGGGCCACATGTCGGGTAGGTGGGGGGCCACATGTCGGGTAGGTGGGGGGCCACATGTCGGGTAGGTCGGGGCCACATGTCGGGTAGGTCGGGGCCACATGTCGTGCAGGTGGAGAACCACATGTGCAGGTGGGGGGGCCACACGTCGAGTAGGTGGGGGAACTGCGTCATGCAGGTGGGGGGCCACATGTGGTGCAGGTG